AAACTGTCGCCATTTTCGAGGGCTGCTGGGGTGGCCCAGCACAGTGGGTACCCACCGCAGACTCAAATTAGACCTCGCCATCCCTGGGGGGCCGCGATCTGTGAAACTGTCGCCACTTTCGAGGGCTGCTGAGGGGGCCCAGCACAGTGGGTACCCACCGCAGACTCAAATGAGACCTCGCCATCCCTGGGGGGCCGCGATCTGTGAAACTGTCGCCACTTTCGAGGGCTGCTGAGGGGCCCAGCACAGTGGGTACCCACCGCAGACTCAAATTAGACCTCGCCATCCCTGGGGGCTGCGATCTGTGAAACTGTCGCCACTTTCGAGGGCTGCTGAGGGGCCCAGCACAGTGGGTACCCACCGCAGACTCGAATTAGACCTCGCCATCCCTGGGGGGCTGCGATCTGTGAAACTGTCGCCACGTTCGAGGGCTGCTGAGGGGCCCAGCACAGTGGGTACCCACCGCAGACTCGAATTAGACCTCGCCATCCCTGGGGGGCTGCGATCTGTGAAACTGTCGCCACTTTCGAGGCCTGCTGGGGGGCCCAGCACAGTGGACCCACCGCGGACTCAAATTAGACCTCGCCATCCCTGGGGGCTGCGATCTGTGAAACTGTCGCCACTTTCGAGGGCTGCTGGGGGGTCCAGCACAGTGGACGTACCCACGGGACTCAAATTAGACCTCGCCATCCCTGGGGGGCTGCGATCTGTGAAACTGTCGCCACTTTCGAGGCCTGCTGGGGGGCCCAGCACAGTGGGTACCCACCGCAGACTCAAATTAGACCTCGCCATCCCTGGGGGGCTGCGATCTGTGAAACTGTCGCCACTTTCGAGGCCTGCTGAGGGGCCCAGCACAGTGGGTACCCACCGCAGACTCAAATTAGACCTCGCCATCCCTGGGGGGCTGCGATCTGTGAAACTGTCGCCACTTTCGAGGGCTGCTGGGGGCCCAGCACAGTGGGTACTCACCGCGGACTCAAATTAGACCTCGCCATCCCTGGGGGGCTGCGATCTGTGAAACTGTCGCCACTTTCGAGGCCTGCTGAGGGGCCCAGCACAGTGGGTACCCACCGCAGACTCAAATTAGACCTCGCCATCCCTGGGGGGCTGCGATCTGTGAAACTGTCGCCACTTTCGAGGGCTGCTGAGGGGCACAGCACAGTGGGTACCCACCGCAGACTCAAATTAGACGCCGCTTTCGTCCTTGTTCTCCTCCTGCAGTCACCTTCCCTCTGCTGCTGCCGTGCTGATGGTTCGGCTTCCCGCACGTTTTTCTCCTGCTCTGCGTTCCCGACTCCCCATGTCCTCTTCGAGCCTGTAGCTGTCGCCCCTGGTTCTTGTATGGTTCTCCTGCGCATCATGCCATAGGCGCGTGTCCCAAGTAGCTTACACATCAAGTTGATTGTCCATGCAAGTTTCGGCCAACTCCTCGTTTCCATTGATACAAATGGGTTGGGTACGTCACAGGGTAATTTTTTGGGGGGAATTCGAGAGCTGTTCTTTTTGCATTCGGCAACGAGTCCAGCAGCCGAGCAGCGAGGGGAGGGCGTGGCACCGGGGGCCGGGACCGGGCTGCCCGTCGAGAGGGCTCGGGCGGGCGTGGGGGGCAGCGGCAGCGGCCGGGCGGGCTCCGGCACCGCCATGGACGGGCCCCCCGCGCGCGCGGGGGAGCGCAGGACACCACGCAGACCAGCCTGAAGCAGATCCTCACCGGCGCCGTCGGCGGGGCTGGGCGCACCGGGGCCTTGCCGGGGCCCTGTACTCACCAGCCTCGAACTTACCCATGTCCCCAAGATTGACACGCTAAGAGGAGATGGCAGTCTCAGGGATGCACCCTCAGAAACTGAGGAGATCCCTAAGATCGCCATCGTGATGAGGCGATGCCCAACATAGAGGGACAGGGATCTCTTCCAGGCTGGTAACGCACTGGCGGAGCCAGGGCGCCGCGAGCCGCGGGCGCTTCTTGGCCGCTCGCGCTGCACCTGGCGCTTCCGGGCCCTCTGGGGGCCTCGTCGCCACGGCCTTCCTGCCGCTCGAGCGCCAGAGGCACGTTTTTGTCTCAACCAGCCTGCGGTGTTGGGTCCTCGTGTTCCCGCCTCTCCTCCTCCTCCCTCCTCCTCCTCCTCCTCCTCCTCCTCCTCCTCCCTCCTCCTCATCCTCCTCCCCCTCCTCCTCCTCCTCCTCCTCCTCCTCCTCCTCCTCCTCCTCCTCCTCCTCCTCCTCCTCCTCCCGTTACCCTCCTCACTTTGGCACAACCCTCACACGTTTATGGGCCCCATGGGGAGCTCCCCCCAAGGCTCCAGTGGCATGGTTGGCATGCCGCCCCCCCTCCACTTTTGGCACACCTCTCACGTTTCGTGGCCCCACAGGGAGCTCCACCGAAGGCTCCAGTGGCATGGTTGGCATGCCGCCCCCCCTCCACTGGCACACCCCTCACACGTTTCGTGGCCCAGTAGGGAGCTCCACCGACGGCCCCATTGGCTGCGTTCGCATGCGGCCACCGCGCCCATTTTGGCACACCCTTCAAACGTTTCGTGACCCCAGAGTGAGCTCCACCGACGGCCCCAGTGGCTGCGTTCGCATGCCGCCCCCCCTCTATTTTGGCACACCTGTCACACGCTTCGTGGCTCCATAGGGAGCTCCACCGAAGGCCCCAGTGGCATGGTTGGCTTGCCACCCCCCCTCCACTTTGGCACACCCCTCGCACGTTTCGAGGCCCAGAGATCCACCGAAGGCCCCAGCGGCATGAATTGCATGCCGCCCCCGTCCACTTCGGCACACCCCGCATGCGTTTCGTGGCCCCATAGGGAGCCCCACCGAAGGCCCCAGCGGCAGCGCCCGCATGGCGGCCCCGCCCCATTATGGTGCACCCTTCGCGTGCTTCGTGCACATAGGGAGCTCCACCGAGGGCAGTTCTCACAACGGCGGTTTTCACAACTGCACCTGGTTCGGCCCTTCGTGAGGATAATCTATGTTTGGGAGAAGGGCGTGGGTCCGGGTGTCGTGCGGGCCCTTGCGTGACCCCGCTTGGGCTCACTGCCCGTCGTGGTTCGACAGCGGTTTCGGCCACAACTTGTGTGCAATTATTTTTGCAAGCATCCAGAGATTTCCACGAGACGCCTCCCGGGGCCTCCCAAGATTCCGACGGAGGAGGAAGAGTGGGGGAGAAGATGGAGGAGAGGGGGGGATACACCGACAGGACGAAAGTGTTTTCTTTTTGGGCCTTGAACTGGCATCGTCAAGCGTGACATCGGAACGTATGAACGTACGGATGGCATTTCAAGCGGCTCTCATATTTGGACGCGCGGATCCAATTCGGATTGGTTATTGCGGATCCGATGTCCATGTACCCCGATATGATTCTTTTTCAGTATCTGAGTTCCCACTAGCTCCCTCCTGTCTTGTGGTGTTGGGTCACCGTTTGCGTTCCTCCTTACTCCTTCCTTCCTCCTTCCTCCTCCCCCTCCTCCCTCCTCCCTGCGTTTTCCCCACCCAGTACAGCGATTCGTGGCCCCATGGGGAGCTCCACCGACGTCCCAAGTGGCTGCGTTCGCATGCGCCCACCGACGGCCCCAGTGGCTGCGCTCGCATGCGCCATCCGCACCCATTTTGGCACACCCATCCCACGTTTCCTGGCCGCATCCACCAACGGCCCCAGTGGCTGCGTTCGCATGCGCCCACCGCACCCACCTTGGCACACCCCTCGCGCGCCTCGTGGCCTCATGGGGGGCTCCACTGACGGCCCCCGTGGCTGTGTTCGCATGCGCCTACCGCACCCAGTCTGGCACACCCCTCACACGATTCGTGGCCCCACAGAGCGCTCAACCGACGGCCCCAGTGGTTGCGTTCGCATGCGCTCATCGCACCAATAGTGGCACACCCCTCACACGCTTCGTGTCCCCACAGGGAGCTCCACCGAAGGCTCCAGAGGCTGCGTTCGCATGAGCCCACCGCACCTCTCGCTCTTCGTGCCCCGTGAGGAGCTCCACCGACGGCCCCAGTGGCTGCGCTCGCATGCGCCCACCGCGCCCGTTTTGGCACACCCATCCCACGTTTCGTGGCCGCACCCACCGTGGCACACCCCTCACACGCCTCGTGGCCCCATGGGGAGCTCCACTGACGGTACCAGTGGCTGCGTTCGCATGCGCCGACATCACCCATCTTGGCACACCCCTCACACGTTTCGTGGCCCCATAGGGAGCTTCACCGACGGTCCCAGTGGTTGCGTTCGCATGCGCCCACCACACCAACATTGGCACACCCCTCACATGTTTCGTGGCCCCGCAGGGAGCTCCACCGACGGCCCCAGCGGCTGCGCTCGCATGCGCCCACCGCGCCCATTTCGGCACGCCCCTCCGACGTGTCGTGGCCCTATAGCGAGCTCCACCGACGGCCCCAGTTGCTGCGCTCGCACGCGCCCACCGCACCCGTTCTGTTCTGCCCGAACGCTGTGGATACAACGACGGTATTCACAGCTGCATCTGCATGGGCCTTTCGCCAGGCAGATTCTTTCACACAGATCTGATGTTCGCCCCAGTCTAACAATCCCGTATGAAAGTAGACCGAGAAACCAGGCGGAAATCAGATCCAAGGCCCCGCGCGCGCAAACATTCTACGAACGAGCGGTGGTGGTGGCGGTGGCCATTCCATTTCCATTGTGGGTCTCTCGCATTCCCATCCGCTTGTTCAACACATCTATCTATCCATCTGCCGACCGAACATCCTTGCCGCGCGTTCGGTGGCTCTGACGCTCTCGCGCCCAACGCTCGTCGCGGCTCGCACCCCGCGCCCGGGGAGAGTCGCCAGGGGCGGGCTCAGGGCTCGACATCGCGGTGGGCACGCAGTGGCCGTTCTGGGGGCTCCTGCACATGGCCGCGGACGTCTTCATGATGCAGTGACCGCGGTCCTCCTCCTCCTCCTCCTCCTCCTCCTCCTCCTGCTCCTCCGCCCTCCTCCTCCTCCTCCTCCTCCTCCTCCTCCTCCTCCTCCTCCTCCTCCCTCCTCCTCCCTCCTCCTCCTTCTCCTTCTCCTCCTCCTTCTCCTCCTCCTCCTAATTCTCCTTCTCCTCCTCCTCCTCCTCCTTCCTACTCATCATCAATCATCATTATCATCCACCTCCCTCCTCCTCCTCCTCCTCCTCCTCCTCCTCCTCCTCCTAGGCCCTGGCCCATGCCCAGGGGGAGAGCGGCCCTCTGTTTCTGTTTCCCCGTAGGACACCACCCCCGCCTGCAGATCGCTCCCACCCGCCCATGTGGGCTTCACTTCTTCAGACGATACTATACAATCCACTCTCTCTTTCGGATGCCTGGCGCGTCCATGATGTATCTTCTCGGCTGGCTTTCGCGGACATAGTGCTGTGCCCTGGGACTCAGGCCCGTCGGCGTGCGGGTGACCCCGTGACCATGTCGAAGACGGCCAAACACATCCACCTCTCGTTCGGCTGGCAAAAAGGATCGATGACCAACAAGAGCGCGGGCTGCAGTATCTTGCTCAGGCCACGCGCCTTCAGGAGGTGCCACATCCAAGAAATCATCGAGCCCCCACGGGACCTCAGAGACCGAGGAGGTGCCGTTCGCCTTCGCAGCTCGTATTTCGACATCCTCGCGATCACGGCGTATTTCCCGCCACCCCAGCGTCACCAAGTGGACTCCTGGAAGGCGACGGTGGCCAAGCTCACGCAGTGGATCCACCAGACGGTCCAGACCGCCCCGAGGCGCGCGCTGGTGCTCATAGGTGCGGACACGAACTCGGGCTTCGGCAAGACGGCGGCGCTCCAGGGGATGTCCTGCTTCACGGCAGACGACCTGCACACGGGCAAACATCAGACGGCCTTCGAGAATTGCACCACGTCCGAGCTCTGGCGGGTCATGCGCATGGAGGGCCTCTCGGCGGTCGACACATTCTTTGCGACAGGGCCCACTTACTTCGGCCAGGAGGACCACCACCGCTCGAACCCTGATCACTTTTTCGCGCCGTGCGCCACGGTGCCGCAGACTGTCTCGTGCTGCACGCTGCGCTCGGCCATGAGAGACCTGCAGAAGATCCCTCATGCGGCCCCTCGCGATCATTGCCCGCTTCTCTGGCGCCTGCGCTACAGGCTGCACTTTGAGCCGCCGCAGGAAGTGGAGCCTCGATGGGACTGCGACCAGATCGCCGCACTCCTCCAGCCTGAGGGAGACCTTATTTTCGTGGCGGAGATGGAGCGCCTGTCCGAGCGCCATGCGGGTGTTTGGAAGCAGCAGGTTCGCACAGATGACCCGTCGGAGGCCTGGCAGTCGTTGGTGGAGGACGTTCGAACTGCAGCACACGAAGCCTGTGAGCCCCCCGCTGCAGCTGGACCTTCTCGCACTTACAGGGAGCTTCGTGACACCTTGTTGGCTAAGCGGCGGACTCTGGGACGGCGATGCTTCAGCGAGGAGGATCGGCTGGCGGTGCGTGCTTGCGAGCGCGAAATCAGGAGAACGAGAAAGCGATCGGATGCAGAACATGTCGAGTCTCTCCTACGCGAAGATGTTCGCGCACCCGAGAGGGGTCACGCCAACATCGTGTGGCAGCTCGCCTACCAGATTGGTGCTAGGTACCATGGTGTCCGCCGTCGTCGCTTCAACACCTTGCCGCACTACCAGCCTACGATTGATGAGTGGACAGAGACGATGCAGGCTCCTGCAGCCGCTGGTTGTTTCTCTGCAGTGCAGGTCCCTGAGCCCGAGTTCCCCGCAGAGGTGGCGTTGGCCCTTCGTGCCCAGGATGACCCTGATGGCGAGTGGAAGGCTGTTCGAGGCAATCCTGGCGATGCAGCTTATGAGGACTGGACCTACACCCTCCAGGCGCTGAAGCGAGCAGCGCGGCGCCGCTTCGCGCCGACCCACTCAGCCCCCGCTGAGGTCTGGCTCGCTCTGTTGCAGGCAGCGACCCGAGAGCACCGTGGCGAAGGACAGGTCCCTGATGATGAGGGTCGTCCTGGTCCTTATCGCAGACAGTCTCGCCATGTTTCTTGTCCGCGAGTTTGTGAGAGGTTGCTTGGCCTTTTTTCGACAGATTCGCCTGTCTTGCCGCACGCCCGCCTGGTGGCACTGGTCCAGGACGTTCCAGTTGGACAAAGGGAATGATAAGAGGAGTACGAAGGCGATGAGGCTGATTCATTGTTTCTGCCCTTTTGGCAAGGCCTGGTACCGCGGGCTTTTCACGAGATTTCGCAAGCCTCCCCTGCCGCGCCACGCGCACGGGTACGCCAAGAACAGGTCCAGACAAGGGGCCCAACTGGTTTCTCGGGTGCACTCCTGGCGTCTCAAGAAGCTCCAAATTAGCCACCCCCAGCTCAAAAAGGACATGAGTAACGCTTTCCCGAGCACGAATCACGAGACCCTCGAGCAAGTTGTAGGAGAAAGCATCCCCGACATTCAGGCCCAGGGCTACTTTCTCCAGAGGCGCAAGGAGGCGGTCATGGAAATCCGATCTGGCACCGGAAAGGCTTTCTATGTACCTAGGCACGGCGCTGGCATGGGGGACGGCAATGCATGTGCGTTGTGCGTTCCTTCGTCCGCCCGCTCGAGTCTTGGAACAGCGAGCTGCGCGACAAGGCCGACACCTCGCTCGAGACGGCGCGAGGTGAAATGCCGTTGCTAGAGGCTACGACGTTGATCTCTTGCCCCGTGTCCTCGTCCCTTGTCGACCTCTCCCTCCGTGACTACGCCGACGACGTGTCGCAGACGCCCCCTTTGCCCGATTGCAATCCGTTTCGCGCTGCGAGCTTCGCCGAGGCATCTTCAGATCTACTCGCTCGCAAGCTCCTGGATCAAGGGGGGTACACCCAGAATGCCGACAAGGAATCCGTCCTCCCCGTGTTTGTCGGCCCCGGCGGCTACGCCGCCACCGGGGCGGTTCCCTCGGGCCAGGTGCAGCTCCCAGGAATCCCGCAACCTCAAGCTGTGTATCTGGGAGGGGCGGAGCAGTTGACAGGAGGGGCTGGTGCGGAAGTACGATCAAGAGTAGATGCCACGCGTTCTGCCTGGTGCAAGCTCGGTAGGTTTTGGAACCAGCACCTGTCGGTGCGACTGAAACGCATGGCCTTCCTCGGGGTGGCCCACAGCGCGGCCTGCGCGGGCCTGGAGTCGTGCATCCTGTCGAAACGAGATTCCGCCAAGCTCGACTCGGTCATCCTGGGTTTCGCCAAGGTCGCTCTCCGTGGGGTCGCTCGCTTCTCGACGATCGATGGCCAGGAGAAAGTTCGCCCCCCCCCTGCGTGGAAGCTACACAAAATGCTTCGCATAGCGGACGCGCGCGCGGAGTTGCTGGCGCGCAGGATCCGCTACTGGCAGCAGTTGGCCAAGAGCCCGAGCGACTCTGCACAGGCCGTCGCCGCTCTCTTCGGCAATTTCACGTCGCTGGATGACGCTCCAGTGTTCGATGGCGCAGGCTGGGCCAGAGAAAAGTCCTACCCGCGGGCGGTGCAGCTCCAAAACGATGCGCTCACATTGAGACTCGCACCAAAAGGAAAATATTTCTGGGATCGAGGGCACAGCATCAAAGACATTTTCCGGACTACCGTATCGGACTGGCGTTTGCAAACTTGGACCCCCAGGGCCTTCGCAAGGAGTATTGGAATCAGCAGTCGCGTTCACCTCTACGGCCTCCTCGAGCCCCCGTGGACCCTGACATACCTGAGCCTCCAGAGCCTCCACATCATGAGTACGTTTGTGAACTTCCAGTGGGTGATGGCGAACCTTGTAACCGCGCCTTTACCACTCGAGCGGCCCTGAGAGCGCATCAACGTCACCATCCCGAGCATCGTTGTCGCGTTCCCCTCTATCAGCTAATCGTGACAAACCAGCGCTTTTACTGCTCCTCGTCCTTCTCCTCCGTGGTCCTTGCGAAGAGGCACGTAATGCAGTCCCTCAAGCTCAGGAGGTGCCTCGCAGACTACAGCCCCTTCGCTCCCGCCGTTCTGAACCCAGGGACCCTCTTCTGCCCCGTGTGTGTGGACCTCGAGAGCGCCCATCCGCTCCATCGTGGGGGACTGATCCATACTGGAGTTGACCAGGCTCAAGGCGAGTTTCTCACGCTGTTCGCCCTGCAGGAGCACATCTGCATTGCGCACGCCCCCCCTGCGCCCGACATTTGGGTTGATGTCCACGCCCGCGGAGAGAGCGCTGAGCACTGGGACAGAGCAGCGGCAGCAGGAGCTGCGAGGAGGGGGCGCCCGCGGATGAGATCGGACCCGCAGCAACGAGCGCGGCGCTCCTCGCCGCGGACGCCGAGGCCAAGAGGCGCCTGCGACAGCGCGCCAGCAAGGCGCACCGCCACCAGCAGGCGGCGCACGGCAGCAGAACACATCGTGGGAGGCCACCGACACCCACTTCGGGCTCGTCCAGCGCGACGTCGACCAGCTGACGAGGATACCCCTCGATTGGGTACAGGCGCTGGTGCCAGTTCTGGCTCGCGTTGCCCTGCGCCACGAGGCAGCCATCAATCACCTGGAGGCGGTGGCTTACAGGCACGTGCAGGTGCCCGCAAAGCACGACGTGATCCAGGCGATGCAGGTGACGGCCAAGTTCTACGGCAACGAGGCGGCCCGACTTCGCAAGGATCACAAAGAGGCGATCCAGGCAGGGCAAGAGGTCCCAGAGCTGACGCAGCTCGGCATCCCGCACCCTCACGTATGGGTCGCACTGATCGGGGCGCTGGTGGGACAGGGAGAGAGCGTCGGGCAGGCCAGCCTACAGAAGATCACGGAGTACCGCGACCAGCTTCACCACGAGCGCCGCAGCAACGAGACACTCGCTCAGGAGGTGAAACACTGCAGGCTACAGACGACGTTTGCGGGGGACAAGGTAAACTTGTTTCTTGCGGTGTCGAACGCGGACTTGGAGCAGACGGTCGTGCACGCCCTCGTCCAACTGGGCGGGATCCACAAGCACGGGGCCCCGCCGCGGTCCCACGACGCCAGGCTGATGCAGCTCCACTTGGACGGCCTGGACGACTGAACACCCATGCTGCGGCCAGGGACGAGGATGGTGGTAACTTTACTGGTGCGACTCCGATTGCCGCCAACTCGAGCTTGATTGGGACCCCCTCGTCGTTGATTGGGTCTCACAGCTGTCAGAGGTTAGCTTCACGCAGTTCGATGAGGCCGATGGGAATTTCGAGACAAGCGAGATCGGTGTTTCCGACGACAGAGAGGATCCAGAGGCTATCGCCCGGAGCTGATAACAACCCCCCTGAGGCCACAGTGAGCCACTTGGCACCTGTCGCTGCTGGCAGTCGTACCTCCCCCTCCTCCTCGTCTGACGCCTCCCTCCCCCTCCGCAGCATCCTAGATCTCCTGGGACTGAGACATCGGAACCAATAACTTTTTTTGCTTTCGTCTTGGGACGGGTAGTCTCGGACCTTCGCTGGGGAAGCGCCTCTAGCCTTGCGAGAGCCTGGGGGGAATCTCTTCCAGGGCCCTTGCGGTCCCAGCGTCCCTAGTGGCTCCAGAGGCCCTCCCTGCGACTTTGAACGGGGGATGCTTTTACCTCAGGCGGCTCCTCCCTGCGCGCTTGCGTGCTGCTGTGCTCTCCTTCTGCTCCCTTGCTTCGCTGGCTCCTCGCTTGCCCTCCTGTGCGTGCTGGCTTGGCTTGCTGGCTGGTTTGCTTTCTTCCCTGTCCACTCTCCGCCGCCCGGGGTTCTGGTGGTTTGTTCTTTGAATTTTGTGTCCCCCGCCCCCTCGCGCCCTACACCCTACGGCCCAACCCTGCCTTTAAAGCGAGGGGGGCCAGACGAGGTAGGGGGGCGGGCGGGAGCCCCGTGCCACAAGGCCACGCGTGGTCCTTTTCCTTTCAGGTTTAGAGCCACGGCGCCCGCTAGAAGGGACGTCGACGACGCAAAGGTCGGCCTGCCCCCGTGCTTTCTGCCCGTGGCCGAGTTCGAGGATGCTGTCGACACCCCTCTGATGCGCCTGCCGCCGCCTCCTCCTCCTCCTCAGTGGGAAATGACTGAGGTGTACGGCGCAGGGGCTGCGGCGCCCGCGTGGGGGTGCGCAGGTGGCCGCGGCCCGCGGCTCGCAGTCTCGGCCAGAGAAGCGTCCCACCTTCTACGGGGCGGCGCGAGAACGCGAGAGCGCGTCGGGCGCGCGCGAAGCGAATCCTCCTCCTTCGAAACGATGGGGTTTCTTCTTCTCCTCCTCTTCTTCCTCCTCCTCCGCGTCGCTGCCAGGAGGGGGTCGTCGGAGGAGGGAGGCAGCCGCGCGCAGAGGGAATACAGTCGGACCGAGGTATAGGATCGAGGTCGGTTCGGGGAGGGTGCCCTCGCGTTCTTCGTTTTTGCGGGATGCTCTGTGTGCATCCTGGGGGAGGGTACCCTTGGATGTTCTGTGTATTTGGGCCGGCGGAGGTTCTCATGGTCTTGAGGGATGTTATTCTGACTTAGATCCGACTGTACTATTGCAACTTCACGGGGGGCCATGAGGTCGTGTGGATCTCCGCTGTCGCCAGGGCAACCACCAGCTGGCCGTCCCGCCGCGGGGTCGTGGGCCCGCCGCGGCCCCCGAACCCCTCCAAGCCACGGGCCGGGGCGGCCGGCTCGGGCCGAGTGTTGGGTCGCCGTCCGAGTTCGAGTCCGTCTGGACTTGCAATCGGACCGAGGTATGGGATCGAGGTCGGCTCGGGGAGGGTACCCTTTGCGTTTGTTGGATGCTCCTGTGCACCATGGGAAGGGTACCCTTGGATGTTTTGTGCTCTGGCCAGCGGAGGGCCTCGTGTTCTTGAGGGGTGCTCTTCTGGACCAGGTTCGAGTGCTGCCCCTCCTGAGGCCCAAGAGCAGTATTTGGTGCGCGGATCAGCCAGGCCAGCGTCCAGGTCGGACTGCATGGGGGGGAGGAGGAGGAGGAGGAGGAGGAGGAGGAGGAGGAGGAGGAGGAGGAGGAGGAGGATCGCACGCCACTGAGGGAGAACGAGAGAGAGAGAGAGAGCCCCGACGGTTTAGGCCAAAACCCCCAAGGAGGGGCCCATCCGAGAGGGCCTTGTTGTCACCTCGGTGCGGCTCGGCATGGGCAGCGCGCCGAGGGCCAGCGACAGGGCCCCCCCTGGGAAACAAAAAACCTCGCCGTCGTCCTCTTCGAGGGGCCCGCCCCCAACTTTGACATGAAGCTTGTCCGCGAGGCCATCCGCCGCCGCTTCATTCACCGCGAACGCCTGGAGACAGCCGGCTGGGGCACAAGCGGCGCCCAGCGTGCAAGGCAGGAGCTGAAGCGCTCCCCGCGCCCCCAGGCTGGGCCCCTGGCGCGACGGAGGTCCCCGAAAAGAGCACCCACACCCGCGCCCCAGGAGAGCGCCTGGGGCCCAGCCTTGGGGAGCGATCGGGGTGCTTGGATTTTAAGAGGGCCAAGTGATTCTTCCGCCCAGGATCGAGCAGCCTCGAGAGCCCGGGACCGACGGCCTCGGAGGGCTCGGGAGGGGCTACGAGGGGGTCCTGAGGGGAGGGCGTGGGAGGCGAGGCAGCAGCAGCAGCAGCAGCATCAGCAGCCTCCTCCCTCCGCAACACCTCCAAATGCCCTTCAAAAACAGGATCCCCCTCGAGAGACACCAGAGTGAGCCCCTGGGCCCATGTGTTGTCAAAGCGCCCCTCCTCCGAGTAAAAAACCTCGGCCCGAGTCACAAACTTGACCAGTTGCTTGCACAGCCCGATCGCGGCCACGATGGCCTCCTTAAGGAGGAGGAGGAGGAGGAGGAGGAGGAGGAGGAGGAGGAGGAGGAGGAGGAGGAGGAGGAGGAGGAGGGAGGAGGAGGAGGAGGAGGAGGAGGAGAGGAGGAGGAGGAGGAGGAGGAGGAGGAGGAGGAGGAGGAGGAGGAGGAGGAGGAGGGGGAGCATCGCCCGAACTGTTTGAAGGCCTGGGCGCCCGGTGGCCCGCGTTTCTGGCCGCCAAGGGAGCGCCCGGCCGCGTCTCGCCAGCGATGCCCGTCGGACGTCCCGAGCAGCAGCGGTGCCGCGATGTTTTCTGGACGCCAGGCGCTCCAGCCATCGTTCGGCGGCGAGCCCGGAGAAGGGGGAAGTGAGAAGGGGAAGGCTTCCTCAGAAGGCTCGGAAGCCCCCCGGGCTTTCGGGAGCAGTCTTCGAACGCCCTCCCCGGAGCCACAGAAGACCTCCCGGGCGGCGCGAGGGCTTCTGAGAGGTCCCGCCGCCTCGCGAGAAGGCCCTGTCCTGCCCGCTTCCCCCCCTCGCTCGCCGCCGAGTCCTGTATCCTCATCCTCCAGGGGGGCGGGGCGGGGGCTGCCGCGGTGCCCGGCGCCCCACCGCGCAAGATCCCCCCGGGACAGGCTGCCTCGTCGGAGGGCGGGCCTCGGGCGAGGCAGGCGGCACGAAAGCGAGGCTCGCGGCGGGCACGGCCGCGTCGGGCGAGGCCTCGCGGGAAAACGCCCTGCGCGCCGCGTCGCTGCCGCGAGGGGGTCGTCGGAGGAGGGAGTCACCCGCGCGCAGAGGGGGGCACAGTCGGACCGAGGTGTAGGATGGAGGTCAGCTCGGGGAGGGCACCCTTTGACGTTTTTCGTGCTCGTTGGATGCTCTCGTGCATCCTGGGGGAGGGTACCCTTGGATGATCTGTGTGTGTGATTGTGTTTTGGCCGGCGGAGGGTGTCCTGTTCTTGGAGGATGTTCTTCTCTCCCACGTCCGACTGCAGGGGGAGGGGCGAAGGCTTCTTGGAAGCACCCCTGCTTCATAGAAGGTGCGGGCCCTTAATCTATCCACGTAAAGCCAGTGCCCTCTAAGAAACAGCCTCCTTCTAAGAAGCCTTCCCCCTCCCCCCATCCCCTTTCTGCGCGCCGCCAGGTCCTGGTCGGCGTCGGAGAATTAAGGCAGCGTGCGATGTGGCGCCGCGGGGCAGCTTTGTTACACGCTCGCCCCCATCCCGGGGATCATGGCGTGCGGCGAAGAAGCCCCGGCAAGGGGACCAAGCGTGCCAGGGAGGGGCCGGCGCCGTGGGACACGCCTCGCGTGGACAGCGTGTCTCGTCGGACGCACATGGGCAGCGTGTTTTCGGAGATGCGCCCCGTGAGGCTGCGCTCCTTCTGTCCCCCCTCTTTGTCAATTCAAGCTTCGCGCGGCCCGCTTAGGAGGAGGAGGAGGAGGAGGAGGAGGAGGAGGAGGAGGAGGAGGAGGAGGAGGAGGAGGAGGAGGAGGGCTTCGACCGGAAGAGGTGCGCTCTCGACCCGCGAATCAAGAAAGGGTTCTCGGAGATCGATGCGGCACGCCATCTTTCCAGCGCCCACCGCTCGACGCCGCGGCAACGACCACCTCGGGCTCCACAGGGGCTCCAGGTTTCGGGCCGCTCCTTGGAGCGCTGGGCCGGGGAAGCCCTCCGCGGCCGAGGCTCGCCTCGGCCACCAGAGCCCCTTCGCTCCTAGTCCAGCGTCGGAGCTGGATGGACCTCCTACCCTGACGCGTCGATGGAGGAACTGGCCGTTCTCGGTCCGCGAGAGGGCGTCGCGGCCGTCATTTTTGCGGGTCCAGGTCCGTCGGTTCCGGTCCCAGGCCGTGTTCACTAGGGGGAGGTTTGCTAAAGGGAGATTTGTCCACCGCCGACAGCGTTCCTTGTGGTGATTCCTGTGACGGCTGCAAGCGAAAGGCTGCCGCCTCCGCCCGCCGACCCCAAAGAGGACTCCCGCGCGGAGCCCGTCAGCGTGTCTGCGCACGGCGTTTGGCACTGCAGCTGCGAGGCACCGGAAGACGCGGTGCCGAGGAGCGGCGCGGGCAGCTGCGCGCGGAGGTAGCACTGCATTGTCATTCGGGCCTCCTGGCGGCGGCCTCTTGGGTTCGTGCTCCTTTCTGGATTTGTTTTCGGCTGCTGTGTGTTGGGCCTCCTTCCGTAACCCCCCCTGGCTCAAGGCCCTCTGGGCTCGAGCACGCCCCTGGCCAGGTGCGGTGTTCCGGCCCTGGCATGATGGAGACCGCGGCGGCGCGGCGACGGCCGCAGGCCCGTGCCGCTGCCGGTCGCCGCTTGGCTGCCGGCGCCGCCGGCGCCCCGGTCGTCGCGAACCCGCCGGGGCTCTCTGGCGCCGCTGGCGCGGCTGGTGCTGCTGGCGCGACAGGCGCAGCCGCTCTCGGCAGCGCGCTTGCTGCTGCGAGCGTGGGCGGTCGGCGCTGGCAGGGCTGCTCGCCCTCTCTCTCGCCCCCGCGGGCGCCCCGGGCGATGCCGACGCTCCCGGGCATGTCGGCGCGGCCCGAGTGCGCCGTCCTGCTGGCGCAGCCGGCGGTGCGGCCGGCGCCCCCTCGGCCGCCGACGCCCAGTGGGCGGTCAGCGCGGCCAGCGCGGCTTGGCCGCCCGCCTCGGCTGGCAGCGCGGGCGCCGCCGACGCCTTCGGGAGCGCTGGCGCGGCCCGCGCCCTCCCGTGGGCCTTCGCGCCCTGTGCCGCTGGCGCCGCTGACGCTGCCGGCAACCGCCGCCGCCACTGCGGGCGTCTGCGCCGCGGCCGCCGTGCTGCTGCCCGCGCGGGGCTTTGGCTGGCCGCGGCCAGGCTGGCGCCGGCCGCCGGGTTCGCGGCCTCCGATCGACGTCGCGGCGCACGCCGACGCGCGCGCGGTGGAGGAGGACGAGGAGTTTGCGGGGCAGGATTTGGGGCGGGGCGCGGGGAAGGCCGTCGCAGCTGGCGGAGAGGGCGACGCGTGCGACGCTGCTCTGGCGACGCCTGCGCCCTCGACGGCGTTGCCGAAGGTATCGGCGCCAGCGTCTGCGGAACCCTGGCAGCGCCGTCGTGGCCAGCCTGGGTGCCCAGCGGAGTCGACGTTGGAGGGCGTCGAGGAGGGCGTCGAGGAGGCGGGGGGGGCGCAGGGGGCGGTGGGCGAGTAGGGGCAGTTCGTCGACGCGGAGGCGGAGGAGGCGGAAGGGGAGGCGAAGGGAGGCGGGGCCCAAGTCTTCGCCGCGGGCGCGGACTGCGAGGCGGAGGAGGAGGAGGAGGAGGAGGAGGAGGAGGAGGAGGAGGAGGAGGAGGAGGAGGAGGAGGAGGAAGTGGAGGAGGAGGAGGAGGAGGAGGAATCGACTGCCGTTTCTCCAGGACCTCCACGCGGCTCATTTCTCGCCAGCGAACCCCCCGCGTTGCGCCCGCGAGGGCCCGACGCGCGGGATCGCTCAGCCCCCCCCCGGTGCCGCGCTTCGCGGCGCTACGGGGAGGCAGAAAGGAGAGGACGGGTCCCGGGGGGCCCCGTTCCATTCGGCCGCCCCTCGCCGACGTCGTGCCCGCGCGCGCCCGGCCGAGGTCAGGGCGCCGATTCCCAATGCTACTGCCGCGTTTCACGGCGCCCCCCGCGCCCCCCCGGGGGGAGAGGAGGGGGGCCCGGCGGCCGCGGCGGCGACGGCGGTGTCAGAAACCTGCGGGCCGTCCCTGAACTTCGCCAGAGCCCCGATGGAACCTCCATTTCCCCCAGACCTGACAGTCGCGGCGGCGTCGTCGACCAGCGGGCCGAACCTGGTAGCGATGGCGGAGTCAGAAACCAGCGGGCCTCCCTTGGGGCCTCGCCAGGGCTCAGGGTGAACGGCCATGTCTCGGCGCCCCTGAGCCCGGCAGCAATGGCGGTGTGGGCCGACTGGTAATTTCGCGTTCGTTATCGCGGCAATCCGCTGCGCTCTCAGTTGCGACGCGTCGGGGGCTAGCGTCAGTTCACCTAGCGGCGCGCTCAGGGGCGCGGGGGGCCTCGGCGGCGTCAGAAACCAGCGGGCCGAACTTGGTAGAAAGGACGGAGTCAGAAGCCGGCCCCCCCGTGAGCCGCGCCAGGGCTCAGGGGGGGGGGCCATCTCTCCCGCGACTGCCGCTTTCAGCGGCGCTCCTGGACAGAGCAACGACTGCGGTGTCAGAATCCAGACGGCTCCGCCCGGCCCCTCGCAAGCTTCCGAGCGAACGCCGACTGCGGGCGACGCCGCCGTTGCTCGGGGCACACCTGGCCAGAGCCTCGTCGCCACGCCGAGGACCCGCTGCGAAAAGCCGCCACCCAGAGGCGCGCGGGCCAACGCGTCTGGCAGTGGCGCTCCTGGACCGCGAAGGGGTGCTCTGTCTGGCGGCCAGGTCGACAGAAACCAGAGCGCTCAGGGCGGCGCCGTACCTGGACCGGTCTCGAGGTGGCAGGCACCCCCAGTCTGCCCTGGAAGCCGGGGAGTCCCCCCCCCCGTTGTCGCGACGATCGCACTTGTTGCCGCTGCTCGCCCCGGAGAACCCTCGTCGCCGCGGCCGGGTGGCGGAGCCCGGCAGCGCGGCCGCGAGCAGCAGGGCGGGCGCCAAGAGCACCATCGCGCACGGGGCGACTGATCCCCGCAGCGCGACCGCGAGCGGCAAGAGATACCCCAGCAGCAACATCGCGAGCAACGCGACGGACCCCAGCAGCTCGACCGCGCGCAGTACGACGGGCTCCAGCACCGCGACTGCGAGCAGCCAGACGGGCCCAAGCATCGCGACCTCGGGCGGCCAGACAGACGCCGCTCGGCGGGCCAAGCTGACGACGGCTACGCCCGAGCCCGACGCGCCTGGACCCGACGCCCCACTCGGCGCCACTGCCAGCGCCCAGCCTTGCGCCCCCCCGCCCTGTCCGCTGCCCCTTCCGACGCCCCCGCCCACCCCCTGCCCGCCGGTCGGGGCGTCGCGCGGACGCCGTCCTTGCGGCCCGCCACGACAGCTGCTCGCGCCGACGCCTGGGTCGACGCGGGCCCGCCGTGCGGCGACCCCCCGCCGGCCCCCGACGCCCCCCGCTGCCCCCCGCCGCCCCCCCGCGACGACGGCCGCGGGCGGCCCTCGCGCCGCCGGCAGCTCCGGCGCCAGCCCGCGGGGGGAACGCCCCAGCCTGCACGGCGCAACCTCCTGCCGCTCGTCGGACGCGCCTGGGCCGCGGCGCCGGGCGCCTGTGACCATTGGGACTCGTTCACTTCGGATTTTAGGAGAGAAAAAAAAAGAGGCGGGCGCGTTTCGCGGATGTCCTGGCCCCCGCTTTGCTCGACTTCCTCGGATAGAAGGAGACCCTCGTGGCCCGGGTCAGGAGGGCGCTGCAGGATGGCGGCGGGACTGGGGCGGCCTGGCACGGTTTCTGCGTTCGGCGTGGCGGCGGCGCCGCGACCCCAGCCGGCCCGACGCCACCTTCGCCGCGTCCTTCGCCAGCATGGGCCAGCGCGAGCCACCCGCGCGCCGCCGCCCCAGAGGGGCCCGCCCGCGCGGGCCAGCGGGCAGCTCGGCCGCACCGCCGACCAGCGGGCAGGCCCCCGCCGCCCCCCCCACGCGCCCGCGCCCCGGCGCGGAGAGCCCCCCGCCCGCGGCGCCCTGCCTTGCTGGCCCGCCGCCCAGGTGGGTCACTGCCCCCGCGCGCGTGGCGCCCGCTGCCCCTCTCCGCCCAATCGGCGGCCCCCTGCCTGTCGCTGCCCGCCCTGCCGGCCGATGCCCTCGCCCGCCCTCTCCCTGACTGCTCTCCATGAGGCGCGCGGCTCCTTGGGCTGGACGCCCCTTCCGCGCCTGGCTCGGCGCCTCC